TCTCATTCATACATGCATACAGTTTGGTTCACACAGAACCCTTAACTTGAAGCACAGACCCTGAACCTATCAGTTCTGGCTAACCAACAGACACCTGAACCTATCAGGTTGGTACTCTGACACACAGTAGTACCCTGTCTGACACACAGACTCCCACAACAGCTCCTTCTTCCCAGCTGCTGCTTCGTCACATCCCAGCGTCTCTCAGTGTCTCTCAGTATCTCAGCATCTAAACTTCTCTCACCACACACGCATCACATTTATATACAGTACAGCCCCTCCTCCTGATGTCCCGCCTTCCACTCCCCATAGGATGGAACTTTCCCTCCAAACCCATGACAGACAGGTAACATCAGTGCTGTATGTAACATGTCCTACCTAAGATGGAAACAATAATAAGGGAAAAGAGAAAAAATTTATTTCGTAATACTAGTCTTCTATAATGTCATCTGTATCCTAATTCCATAAGCTAAAAAGGCAAGTTTAAGGGAAAAGAGAAAAAAATTATTTCATAATACTAGTCTTCTATAATGTCATCTGCATCCTAAGCTAAAAAGGCAAGTAATGTGTTTTCGACAACATTTCATAAGGCACTGAAGCTGTGCTACCCATACCACTAGGAAAAGGGAAGTAGATTCTGCATGGTGCCAAGGAGAGCAGGATGTTATCACTACTGGCAGCCATTCCAGAAGGCTGGAGCAGAGGACGATGAGGTGGCAAGCCAAATGATTTCAGAAGCCTTGCTTGAAAGATTGCTTGCTTTCCCCCTTTCTGTCATGGCTTTTTAAAAAGATTACAAGCCTACAGGCTCATAAAACTGTCTTTTATTGACTCTATGTGTAAACTGCTCTAGGAATCTTTTTGGCTGAGGAGTGCAAAAATTCTTCAACTAAATAAAATATATGGAACAAACTATACTGCTCCTCTCAGTGTCTCTCAGTATCTCAGCATCTAAACTTCTCTCACCACACACGCATCACATTTATATACAGTACAGCCCCTCCTCCTGATGTCCCGCCTTCCACTCCCCATAGGATGGAACTTTCCCTCCAAACCCATGACAGACAGGTAACATCAGTGCTGTATGTAACATGTCCTACCTAAGATGGAAACAATAATAAGGGAAAAGAGAAAAAATTTATTTCGTAATACTAGTCTTCTATAATGTCATCTGTATCCTAATTCCATAAGCTAAAAAGGCAAGTAATGTGTTTTTGACAACATTTCATAAGGCACTGAAGCTGTGCTACCCATACCACTAGGAAAAGGGAAGTAGATTCTGCATGGTGCCAAGGAGAGCAGGATGTTATCACTACTGGCAGCCATTCCAGAAGGCTGGAGCAGAGGACGATGAGGTGGCAAGCCAAATGATTTCAGAAGCCTTGCTTGAAAGATTGCTTGCTTTCCCCCTTTCTTTCTGTCATGGCTTTTTAAAAAGATTACAAGCCTACAGGCTCATAAAACTGTCTTTTATTGACTCTATGTGTAAACTGCTCTAGGAATCTTTTTGGCTGAGGAGTGCAAAAATTCTTCAACTAAATAAAATATATGGAACAAACTATACTGCTCAGAGGCCAGTGATTTCAATAGTGGCTTGCATGGGCAACTTAATTGAGAAGTGGACCTTTATGTTAACCACAGCTTGTCTGCGAGTGGAACGCCATTTGATTTTTGGGGTACCTAAAAGCTTCAGGCCAGCTTTAGGACATGTGGAGGTGGACTGAACTTTACTGCAATATAGTAGGGTAATAATACTACTTGCAGGATTGCTGTTCAGGATTACAACTAGATCACGCAAGTAAAATGTTCTGAATACTTGAAGAAACTGTGCAGACATTAAGATGTTCTTCTAATCTGTCTGGCCTCCCCCTGCCGCCGCCTGAGCAAGTATCCCAGCAGCTAACCTAATACTGCTGCCTGTGTGAGTTTAAATATTTCTGCTGCATATTCCATATTCCTTCAAGACAATTCAATTAGTGGTGAATGTGGGGCAGAGCATGTGATGTAAACATTGACAGGTGGTACTGTTTTGCTTTATGTTTATTTCACAAAAAAATCTTTGGAATAATTTTAGCTAAGTTGTCCTGCAACCAGCCAGTTTTTTTGGAAGGGATACATCCATAATTAATCATTACAACCAAATATAAGTATATAAACCCTCATAGGCGCTGTAGAAACATCAAAAGTAACATCAACCAGCTGAGAAATACTGCGAAGCAGATGCACGTGTTAAAGTTAGCAAAAGATTTAACATGTGAAGAGATAAAATAAAAATATGGAGATTTTTTTTACCTGGTATGGTTATAACAGGACAGGAATTAAAGTATTGCGATAAGAGGTCTGTATTCAGGGTAGCACTCATTAGAATAATGCGTAAGTCTGGCCTCTGGGACATCATATCCTTCAAAATCAGCAGCAGGAAGTCACTAAGAAAACAAGCAGGATATATGCAAAATTCTTCAATGTTTCTCTCAAGTCTTCTTCCCCTGCTCTCTGTGTTTGCTAATTTCCCCTTCTCCCCATGGTGTTGCTACTAATGATGTCCAGGCAGAAATCCTGCCAACAGTGCTGTAACTCGATAAGCAGAGCTACAAATTCCCCACTTGCAGTATTTCCTTCTATTTCCCAACCTCAGTGATTGTATGGGAATAACAATAATGAATGACCATTCAAGGTAAGGATGACAGTGTAATGGCTGCATTGCATGTAACATTAAGTCAAGATTTAACACTATAAGGAGCACTTTCCTCCCCTCTTCTCCCCTTCTACAGCTAAGAAGTGATTTTTATTTATAAAAATCAAGGGTGAACTGTAGTTTATTCCTCACACCACTACCAGCTATACAAGAAAAAAACAAGGATGTGAAAAGGGTAGCATGCAAGGCTCAAACCTTACTCAGGCTTGCAGTGGCTCATACACATAACACTTAATCCCGGCTCTGTGGCATACATGAACTAAACAAATATGTGCAATTTTCTAGAAAACATTCATATGATCTCCCATGTGGTGCAGTGGTTAGAGAATCAGATTGAACCTGAAAAGACCCAAATTCAAGTCTCCTTTCAGCCACAACAGTTTAAATCATCTGAATGCCAAACCATCTGAATTACAAACTTTAGTAAATAACACATACATGTATTATAAATATTATGTATGCATTATTTGTAAAGCAGAAACAAACATTTTAAAATACCTTTCTTCTGTTCTCTCATGAACTTCATCAACAATAACATGAGTGACTCCTTGTAAATCAGTGTCCCCTTCAAGTCTTCTCAGAAGCACTCCGGTCGTGCAGTACAACAATCTGGTAGCTGAAGACTTAAAATGGAAGCAAGCAAAAATGTTTATTTCATCCATTTCAATTGTTAAGAATTATTTACTGTGACAGTCCAGATTATGTTTAAAGTTTCTTATTCAGAATACCACAGGCATTGTTTCATAAAATCATAGAAAAGTGAATTTGGAAGGAGCCTACAAGGCCATCAAGTCCAACCCCCTGCTCAACGCAGGAATACAATCAAAGCATATCTGCCAGGACCAAGTTTTTCTTGAATGCCTCCAGTATTGGAGAACTCACCAACTCCTGAGGTAACTGGTTCCACTGTCATACTGCTCTAACAGGAAGTTTTTGCTGATATTCAACTGAAATCTGGCTTCCTTTGAGCTCACTGTTGCGTCTCCTGCACTCTGGGATGATCAAGTTCAGATCTTGCCCCTCCTCTGCATGATAGCCTTTCAAATATTTGAAAAGTGCTATCATATCACCCCTTAGCCTTCTTTTTTCAGGGCAAAACATGCCCAATTCTTTCAGCCTTTCCTCATAAGGCTTGCTTTCCATCATCCTTGTCGTGGCTACAAAGAGTCTCTTTGAAGTGCGGAAAGGTGAGGTGCGAGCACAAAATAGGAGAGAGCCCATTTGACATCTAAGGAGTGTAACACTCATTCCAAAGGTAAGGAAGGTGCTGGAAAGAAGGTGGGGAGCATAATTGGCTAGCTTAAATGAAAACAAGACAACACCTTGGAAAGAAAGGAGAGGTCCAGGCAGAGAGTCACCTTGTCCAGGTGGAACTGGAGGAAAGGAGGTGTTACATACAGCACTGATGTTACCTGTCTGTCATGGGTTTGGAGGGAAAGTTCCATCCTATGGGGAGTGGAAGGCGGGACATCAGGAGGAGGGGCTGTACTGTATATATATGTGGAGCGTGTGAGGAGAAGCCCAACCCCCTGCTCAACGCAGGAATACAATCAAAGCATATCTGCCAGGTCCAAGTTTTTCTTGAATGCCTCCAGTATTGGAGAACTCACCAACTCCTGAGGTAACTGGTTCCACTGTCGTACTGCTCTAACAGGAAGTTTTTCCTGATATTTAACCGAAATCTGGCTTCCTTTGAGCTCACTGCTGCGTGCCCTGCACTCTGGGATGATCAAGTTCAGATCTTGCCCCTCCTCTGTATGACAGCCTTTCAAATATTTGAAAAGTGCTATTTTATCACCCCTCAGCCTTCTTTTTTCAAGGCTAAACATGCCCAATTCTTTCAGCCTTTCCTCATAAAGCTGGTTTCCATCATCTTTGTCGTGGCTACAAAGAGTCTCTTTGAAGTGTGGAAAGGTGACGTGCAAGCCACATAATAGGAGAGAGCCCGTTTGACATCTAAGGAGTGTAACGCCCATTCCAAAGGTAAGGAAGGCACTGGAAAGAAGGTGGGGAGCACAATTGGCTGGCTTAAATGAAAACAACACCTTGGAAAGAAAGGAGAGGTCCAGATAGAGAGTCACCTTGACCAGGTGGAACTGGAGGAAAGGAGGGTCCATTCTTTGGGCCAGCATCTCCCCTGCCCAATGCAGCAAGGTGATGGCAAGGATAAAGGTGGTCTTTCTTAGGGCCACCATCTCCCCTGCCCAATGCGGCAAGGTGATGGCAAGGATAAAGGTGGTCTTCAGAGTCAGGAGTAACCAAGGGCTCAAATGAAGGCTTTGTAAGGGGAGCCAGGACAAGCCCAGGGGAGGGGGGACCATTGTGGAGTAAGAGGCCTGTAAGCTGAGCGCATATTATTCAGCCCCTGCAAGAACTGTTTTAGTGTGGGGTGGCGGAAGAGACACTGCCTCTGAATAGTGTGGCTGATGGCCACTATGGCTGCCATATACACGTTCATGTGCTTGAGCTCTGGAATGTTCTGAGGCTGCTCTGCACAGGCACAGATTAACCCATTAGTGTGCATTCACAGAGATCACAAAGAAGAACCTATATACTTCAAATGATCAAAAAAATACAGCCACCATTCTTGAGATGACAGAAATAAACATAAAAATTAAAAAAAAAAAACCCAGACAAACCTTGACACTTTCTAGCCGGATTTGATATCCCACTGTGACTCCAACTTTTTCTGTTCGTTCACTGGCTACCCGTTCAGCGACAGAAATGGCAGAAATCCTACGAGGCTGGGTACAGATAATGTTGGCCAACTTACTGGGAGGACCTTCTAGTGAGGAGTCCAAGATAAATTGAGGAATCTGGGTGGTTTTTCCACAACTGTAGGAAAGAGAGGAATGGAATAGATATAAGCGATATTCTCCGTAATTGGTACATCAAGATGTATATAAAGACTCAGCCTGAATCTCTTGCAAAATAAAAGAGCCTCGTGGCGCAGTGGTTAAAACGCTGTACTGCAGCTAAAACTGTGCTCACGACTTGGGGTTCAAATCCCAGGTAGCCGGCTCAAGGTTGACTCAGCCTTCCATCCTTCCGAGGTCGGTAAAATGAGTACCCAGCTTGCTGGGGGGGGCAATGTGTAGCCTTTATAATTAAAATTGTAAACCGCCCGGAGAGTGCTTGTAGCGCTATGGGGCGGTATATAAGTCCAATAAATAAATAAATAAAATAAAATAAAACACTGTCCTCCGTGCAGTGCACTCTATAGGGATGTTGGTTCCCCAATAAAATTAAATAACCTACCCCATTCATCAAGACAGTTTAGAATGGCCAGAACATCCTAACCTGTAGTGACCAGGGAATATTGCATTAGACCATTTATTTCACAACAGTCTAAAAAGATTAAGTCTCAAATCAATATATAAATATACTGGACAGTGCATTCTGGAATGTGAGTTTTAAGATTACACCTTAAATTATTATTACAGCTACTAATGTGCCATCAAGCCAATCCCAATTTATGGCACTCTCCCAGGGTTTTCAAGGTTTAATGTTCTGAGAACTGGTTTACCAGTCCTTGCTCCTTGTGGTGTCCTGGAACCATGCAGAGGTGGTTGAACGCATAACCCTGTCAGCCACACATGCTCCAAGTGATCCTGGTTGGTTTGTCCCTTTGGAGGGACAAGTGGGGATTCAAACTCCAATCTCTTGGCTCAACACCTATCTGCTCCAACCCACTGAGATATATAGAAAAATCCTCATAATTTTTGTTACTACAAATTAAAAATTAAGTCATCCAAATTTTCTGGGCTCTGTATATAAACTTTAAAATATTTTCTTGAAGGGGTGGTTGAGTTTCCACTCTGTCATCCACTCAAACCTCAAGCTTTCCTCTCTGCTCTTTAGTTTGGGTCATTGGGTATTCCGAGTGACAACTTAGCAGCCCAATAAACACAAAATAAAACTTTTAAGATATGTTCGGCTACAGCGTAAGAGTTGCACTGCTGGCAGAGGTTCTCTGCTATAACAGACTCAATGGTAGTAATGGGAATATGGCTCATGAATCGTTATGGCAACAGACTCACGATACAACCCAGTTTTAAGGCAAATGCAGTCTATTTCACACTGCCACTGTTGGAACAGGCGACTATGGCTTTGCAAGACATATACTGCCTAAGATGCATCATTAATGGCTTGGCTACCTGTAGTTGTTACCACCTGCCTTTCTTTTTCAGATTTCTGCAGGCTCCTGTCCTAAGAACAAGAGAAACAGAAGTCAATATACACAGAAAGGAAAAATCTGGCTGGGTCTTTTCTTCCTCTCATTTATCTTTATTTCCCACCTCAGCAAATCTAACCTTGCAGTTGGGAGGAGAAAGCAAAGGCGTTTCAATCCGGAGGGGACTGCTAACTGGGGCATGGGGGGAGCCCAGCCAGCATTGTTCCTCTACTGCAAATATGACCTATTTCTCTCTCTTTATCTTTGTTGCCCGTAAAGAAAAAGCCTTTAATGCTCTCAACAGGCAGGCCTAGGCTGCCATTCATGTGGTAAGCTTAACATACCAGCAAATTCAACCTTCAGATTTATATACAGGTCATAGACTTACCCAGTCATACCACTCACTACCAGAACCTGATGTTTCTTCAGTAAACGAAGTATCGTTTCCTTCTTTTCCCACGCAGGAAGTTTTTGACGTTCTTGCAACATAGCCTGGTAGCGCCTAGAAGACTAACAAATATTTGCGTAAGGTCAAGAGCAAGGTCAAGATTAGTAGGATGGGGGAACATCCTACTAATCACATGTTTTTAAGCTTTAGAATATTGCAAGGAGTCCTGCGCAGGCACAGTCTAACCCCTTTGTGTGCATTCACAGAGGCCACGAAGAAGGAGGAGGTGATTTAGCTCATGAATGGCACAAGTTAGGGTGGCAACATTTAATCAAGGTATACTGTATTTGGATATGCACAAGAGCAGTATCTGCCTCAATCAGCTTTCAGTTAATTATCGACAGTGACATATTTGTATCTGGACTTTCACCTACTAAAAAGATGAGTGACAACCTGGTTAGTTAGCAGACTCGAAAATAAGGATATAAAAAATAAGTATTCTACACTCTCTCTTACACAGGACCTTTTTCCCAATGAAAAAACTGCTACAGTTTGTGCATAACCTAAAACAAGGATGATGATGACTAAAAATCATGTAATTAATAAATTAAAGTTTCTTTCTTGTAGCTCTTTCCACAAATACTTCCCTGGGTTTACCTTCTTTGGAGACTTATACAAGCACTATGAGCAGGCCTAATAGCAACCAGGAAAATATGCAAGTAGTCTAACACAGTGGGACACAAACTTGGGTAATCAAGGTGTTCTTGAACTACAATTCCCAGAAGCCTTCACCACCAGCTGTGCTAGCTAGGGTTTCTGAGAAGTGCAGTCCAAGAACATCCAGGTTATCCAAGGTTGGGAACAACTGGTCTAACACAACACTTCAACTTAATTTCATAAACAAAAAATCAGGTATGATATGATATGAATCTTTTCGTGTTCATTTGTTAACGCTAAATAATTAACATCCCAGGTAAGGAAATAGTTCCGAATTATTTCCAGTTACACTCTGAAGATCAACTCTGGAAAACATACCAACTATGTGCTAATGACACTACCTTTATTGTACAGATGATACAGTTGTACCAATCATTCCTTAAATATACATGCAACCGTTATACAGGAAACACTCCTAAGATTGATATTAGGAGTGTTTCCGTTTCCTGATATTGATATTGTTGTTGATACTGATATTACTTCCACCCCATTAGCGATAATCTCAGTGTTTTCTCTCATTTTCTCCTATCAGAATTGTTTCAGCTATTATATATGCAAGATATAACTAATCATAAAAAGGATAAACATCAAAAGATAACTGAATACATATCAGGCAAAATGCAAAGGAATAAAGCAAAAAAAAAAAAAAGACAAACACAGGTAATAAACATCAAAAGATCACTGAACACATATCAGGCAAAATGCAAAGAAATAAAGCAAAAAAAAAAGACAAACACATGTGGCACTTTAAAGACTGACTCTTATTTTAGTGGATGCGTCCACGAAAGCTTACATTAAAATATAATAGTCTTTAAGGTGCCACGTGTTTTTGTCTTTTTATTTCTTTGGATTTGCCCGATATGCTTGCACAGACTAAAACGGCCACCTCTTTTAAAATGATGTAACTGCACACAATTGCTTTTCTGTTTGTCTTTCTTGGCTTACATTCCAACTCTAATACCTTCTTTATGCTGAACTGTTTGCAAATTTTTGAATTCTCCTTGGAAACAGGTTCTGTTGAACTGCTATATTTCTTCAAAAGCTTCTCTCTGAAGTTCACATAACTCTCTGCCTCTGTGTGAACTGTCTGAAGATCTTCCTCCTCATCTTCCATTATCAACTCCTCCATGGCTTGAAACAAAAAATACAGTAGCTTAGAATACGGTGGTATATAATATTTGCTAGTCAGAGGGGAAAATTGTTAGAATATAACATTCACTAGAATTTTTCGTGTCATAGACATCAGCATACTAACAGTGAGGTTTCCATCACCCATGACAGTACTGTCATCCATAGCTGATTTCTCCTTTATGAACCCTGATCTTAACATAAGAAGAGCCCTTCTGGATCAGGCCAAGGGCCCATCTAGTCCAGGTTCCTGCATCTCACAGTGGCCCCACCAGATGGCTCTGGGAGCACACAAAACAACTACAGACCCGCCTCCTGATCCCCCTCTCTTACGTCTGGTATTTTGAGGTACCTTCTTTTTTAAGCCATGACGGAGATTATACATCGCATCATATCTTGTAAGCTGGGATGCACTTTGCCTCCAGAAGTGTCTCCAATCCCCTGTTAAAAGCATCTAGGCCAGATGCCACCATCACTTTCTGTGGCAAAGAGTTCCACAGACTAACACCACATTGGATAAAGAAACATTTTCTTTTGTCTGTTCTCACTGTCCCAACACTCAATCTGAGTGGATGTCCCCTGGTTCTAGTATTGTCTGAGAGGGAAAAGCTTCCCTCTATCCACTTTATCCATCACATGCATAATTAAGTATTAAGTTATCTTGCCCTGCCGCTGCGTATCATAGAGCTAGACCAGGAAGAAGGAAATCAACTGAGCAGTACACAAGATCAGCAATATGAACAGTATAACTACAACACAGGACACTCCCTATGGCATATGCCATTTTGGTTCAATAGACAAGGGTATGCCCTCTATTAGATGAGTGACAAATACAGTCATGCCCCACTTAACGACTACCCCGCATTACAACAAAATCCGCTTCACGACAATATTTTTGCGATTGCAAAACGATGGTCTAAATGGGGTTTTTTCACTTTGTAAAGATCGGTCCCCTGCCTTGAGAACCGATTCTTCGCATTACGATGATCAAAACAGCTGATCGTCGGGTTTCAAAATGGCTGCCGGGTGCTCAAAATGGCTCCCCGCTGTGCTTAGGGACGGATTCTTCGCTATACAGGCACTGAAAATGGCTGCTGTATGGAGGATCTTCGCTGGATGGTGAGTTTTTAGCCCATAGGAACGCATTAACCGGGTTTTAATGCATTTCAATGGGTTTTTTAATTTTGCTTTATGACGTTTTTGCTCTACAGCGATTTCGCTGGAACGAATTAACGTTGTTAAGCGAGGCACCACTGTATAACCATGTCTGTTTTTTTAACACACTTTTTTCAGCTGCCTAAGTGCTTTGTCAGATGCATCTCAAAAACTATATAGGAGCTTTCCTACGCCTGGATGACAGTGCCAAACACTTCATGCTGGAACTTTTGCATTCTAAGCATGTGCTCTATGCTGTGGTTAGAGCACATGCCAATAAACTTGTTAGCTTTTAAATCTCTGACAAGAGCCTTCACTGTTTTCATAGAAAATGATATTCTGCTACCTTTCAATTTTCTTTGGCAAAGAGATTTCTAATACAGCACTCCTAAACAGTAACAGGAAGAGGTACCTGTGCAATAATGTAGTCTGAGCACTGGAGGACACATGGTTCTCTGAAACTGACTTCTACAATGTTAGCGGCAGAGAAGAAAGGTGCTCAAAACTGCAGACATGGTCTCCTTCTAACATTCAAACGACACTATCTTTGACAAGGATTTACAGAATTGTTACACACCTTCTGACATTTGTGACAGAACAGATGTTCTATTAGGCAACCCTCGCTCATCAACATTTTCTTGTCTTCTACCTGAGGACATCCTCAAAGCTAGAGGAGGAGCACTATATTTGTGGGACGTCTTACTAAGCAGTTTCATTACTTCATCTTCATCTTCCAAGCATGTTATAAAAGAATAGACAACTGGTTCATTACACTCAGAGGATATCAAGGCTTTTTCATAAAGGAATTCAGCAATGTGGAGTCGACAGGCCAAGGGCAGGTTCTCATTAGTCGAATAAAATGCAACAAGAGGAGGCTGGTAAGGGTATTTGTTACCCTCCGGAAATCTTATTTCAAGTTCATAAATGGGAGCATTATCACCATTAAGTCTAAGATGAGCATCTTCTCTAACGCTTGGAAGTGTTTTTTGTTTGTGTGGACGCTCATGCTTGAATTTGCATCTTAATCCAAACCTGCAATCTCCTTGGAGGTAATGTTTACAGATTTCCTGGGAAGCTGGGTTTGAACCATTGCTGGTAGTGTTTTGCCCTCGCTTGGGCTTGCTGACAATCTCTGTCAAGTACGCCAAGTTTAATGTAATAGTCCAAACTCGGTTCTGAATTCTTTCCACAAATTTCTCTCCACAGATGGAACGGAGGGCAAAAGCCTCTTCTTGCCTTTGTTCCAAACAGTTGTCAGTACTTGCCAGAGTGGCATTTTCTGTGATCTCCATCCTTTCTGCAAATTTTTCTGAGAAGCACTGAAATAGCAAATGCTCCAAGGAAGCCCCAATGTTACCGTGATGAGATCTCAGCACTGCTCGGCAACGCTCACTATCAAAGCCGTACCTAGGAGGAGGAAGAAGAGCAGGAACAAAATTATTACAGCTGCAAATTCCATAACGTTTTCACAAGAACAAGCAGCCTAACTATTTTTAAGGATGCTTCTCTTGTGGCAAGAAATAACATAAACAGTGTGATTTCTCTGAAATGCAATATATCCACCTTAGTGGCATGTTTGTATGATCTCACATCCTTTCTGAGTGGAACAGGTATATTAGGACAGAAGCATGGGAAGGGGAATTTAAAAACCTATTTTGGAACACTTAAGAAGTTGAGAAAGACAGGAAGAATAAGAATGGCCAAAACCAAGTTGGAGTCATTTTTTAAATCATTCTCGTGTAAGTAGCAGATTATATTAAGGAACACAATTATTTTTTCAGGATCCCACTGATCTTCTGAAATTCACGAGACATTTATTTACCTGAGGCTTTATGAATATCAGTATTTTTACAAATATAAAAATTTTTCCTCAGCATTTAATTGTTGTGCTCAAATTGCTACATTGAATGTATGCAATATAACTTGTTTCATTTTTACAAACACAAAGCTGTGTATTTAAATTCTTATGAGCCACCTAGAGTGGTCGCAAGACCAGATGGGTGGGATATAAATCAAATAAATAAATAAATAAATACATACATACATATACGATTGTTTAAAAGAAAAAAATACAATTTGAAAGCAAACTGAAGCCAGCCAGAACTCAATGGGAAACTGAGAGTAATAAATCCACTGAGTTACATTTGGATAACTTAAATTTTCTTGTGCATGCCTCATCCAGGGATAGAGGTAAGTGCAAGCATTCATCATGAAAATCCCTATAGCTATGCGCCCAAGCAAGCACCAAAACTATATTGATCCATATCAACAAACCAGCATTCATTTCTGCTAGCAGCAGCTCTTTTGTGAAGCGAATGGGTCAAATGCCCTGGCAATCCCCAACTACTCTGAATTAAAAGATGAACAGCTTACAACAATATGTGGTTGCTTGGAAAACCCCACAACAGACACCCAATTTAGGACTGCAACTAAGCTCTAGTGTGGCAGGAATGCGTGAAGGAGTGGCAGATGATGCCACGATCTCTATTAATCAGTCTCAGTGCTCCAGTAGTGTGAACCCTGGCACTTACTATATTGTTGTGCCTTGTACAATATGCATTTCTACTCTGTTTGAAGTTGGCAGTGTTTTCTAACACCAAACACATTTCTACTAAGTGTGTGCCAGTAGATGGAAAGATGAACCTAGGAAATGAGTTTTCCAGGAAAGAGACTGAGAAAGATTTCTAAGAATAGGGAAAGGCAGGTTGAACACTATATGAAATGGCTGATGGGTGGGTTACAGAAATACTTCTTTTTCCCACTGTTCTGGTTGTCAATACAAAAGCATATGCAAAAATATCACCTATTAGACTTTATAACAAGTCCTCTGCAGCCACAAGTACTGGAAAAAAACACACAAAAAAATACAAACCTGAGATTCGTTAGATTGTTCACAAACCACTGGGTTGACAAGAAATGGAGTATTCTACACTCCTTCACGTATACAGATTTGTGCAGCCTTTCAGCATGTCTATCCATACCAGACTTCCTGATAATATTTTCCTTTGGATCAATGAGAAAATAATCACCTGGAAAGTTTGTGCACAGCAAAGGAAGACACCTCATTTTCCAGAACATGATTCACAGGTGCTTGGGAAGGTGTGTTCAGACTCATTTTGGGAACTGCTTTGCTATCGAATAAGTACTGTTCATCATCTGAGTAATCTGATTCATCACAGCTCTGGTCATCCAATACAGGCATCCTGAAAAACATGGTTAATTCAGTTTCAGTTATTTGGATAATAGTCAACCAGGTAGGCCCATTTGTAAGTACTATTGCTAATGACATAGTTTTAGGATCTGTGAGGCTTGTCTTACTCTTTGCTCAGCATTAACATAGACATTATTTCATTTATTCAGTGTTCAGATCTAAATCAGATCACTGCACTGAGGTCTCTTAGGACCAAACATGACAGCAGTGGGCATATTTGCTTAATGACACACCCATTCATATCTAGGGCATACCTTGTGGCATTAGAGGCGAGGAGGAATCTAAACCAGATGACTTGGTGGGGTGGGAAGGTGGAAATAACCACTCTTTTTCATATCTACTTTACTTCATTGTCAGAGGTCCCTGATAGGCCCCCACCTCAGATATCCAGGTGAGACCCTCAGAGCCAGCAGTCATTGGTTCCAAGATGGCCAAGAAACAGGAGTGCATGTTCTGGGAGGGAGAGGAGTAAGAACGGCACGGGGAAGAGGAGAACAAAGCCTCTCTGCAGGTGGGGAAGGTATAAAGGAGGCATTGGAGAGTGAGGAGAGTGACGAGTGAGAGTGAAGGAAGCACGTCACAGGACTAACTGTTGGACTCTGATGAAGACCAAGTCTGGTGCAATGTACAGATGCTCACAATAGGGAGGAAGCCTCCAGAGCTGGAGAGTGGCCAGGACTATATACATGGTAAGGATGCCTGGGCATGGCTCCTGGTCCAGTTCTACATCTGGGAAATGGACCAGAATGCCTGAGTGCCCCCCCCTGTTGTAATGCTGAGACCACCACTGCCAGTCAGAGCCAGGCCAAGGGGGCCCCATACTGATGCAGCAGTGACTCTGGAGAAAGAGCAGAAGGCTCACCTACAGCACTTCCAACAGCAGCTGCCTCCCCGCAACAAGGCCGTTGTGTCCTGTGCCTTGCTCTCACTGCAGTCACGGTTTCCCCTCCTTCTGGCCACTGAAGGAGACCAGAGTCCTGTGAGCCCCAGTCAAGTCAACCCATGGCTTGAAAATGGCTGAGACTATGCAGGGACAAAGGGCAACAAATTTGCTCTCAGGACACATGGCAGGGGTAAAGCAAACACCTGTTGTTGTTGCTTATTCCTCAGAACACTGTGGGACCATGTGGAGTGAAGGGCCAGAGGCATGGAGGAGGACTTGCCCATTCATCCCGCCAAGAGTGGAAGTGGCAGAGCTCACAATCATTGATTTTTCCCCACTCTTCAGTGAGAAAAACATTCCTAATACATAGGAAATAAAACCAAGACTAGAGAAAACAGTAAAATAAAAACATGTATTCACGAAGGCTTTCACGGCTGGGGCCGTGTTCTGAAGGTTGCTCTTCTTAATGTTTCGCCAGTCTCTGTGGCCGGCATCTTCAGAGGACAGCGTCAACCAGAGCACAGAGTGCTGTCCTCTGAAGATGCCGGCCACAGAGACTGGCGAAACATTAAGAAGAGCAACCTTCAGAACACGGCCAAAGAGCCCGAAAAACCCACAACAACCAAAATAAAGACACTACCTCATAGATTAAAATGGTAACTTCCAAAAGAGACTTTTAGGAGTGTATTTGAGAAGCAAGGTGTCATGACCAAGAAAATTGTCTCCTCAATTAAAAAAAAAAGTTTCCAGGAGAATTCTGTAACAAAGTTCCATTTTAGGAATGCTCTGCCAGGGATAGTTCATGGACTAAGTAGCCAGGAGCACTCCATTTGAAAATATGAAAAGAGGATTATGAACTGTTTACAGCTGCAGATACACCATTGCTTCTACAGAAGGCTTCCCACAGCTAATGTTATGTATCAATGTTATAAAATACTTTTTGCAGGCCCTATGTCCTTGGAGGCCATGACTGGGTTAAGGACTTCCATGAAACTGTGCCTCGGGTTCTGAAGTACCACGCAGTATTTACTACATTCATATCTTGTCTTTCAAAAGGAAATGACAAGACAAACTTCCAAAAACTAAATTACAAAATACTAAGAACACAGCAATGATAAAATGGCACAGGTAGCCTAAAACCAAGTGAGATGAGAATAAAAGTAGCCTCTGTAGCTTCATATAGTGCAAACTACCCTTCAGATACGCTGGCCCCATACTTCAGCCAATCTTTACATATTTGGAAACACCAACATATTTACAGCAAATGTCTTTGCATTGCAAAGTCAACCCAAGATAAGCCCAGGATTTTTCCCTACAGAGATAACACAAGCCTGTAGATGTTTTGTCTGCTTAACAAATATTTGCTTCTGAAGTCATTGTGCATGTCAAATCCTACAGCTACATATAATGAAATGACATCTAAATGCTCAGAAAAATTAAGGATTGTTCATTTTCCAGTCTGCCGTATGACAGAACATCAGGTCAACAGGAATATTATTTATGGCTAGAAAACTAACTCTGAGCCGGCAGTCACTTCTTGGCCTTGAAGATCACGGAGAAGTTCTTTCACCTTCCTCTGATTCTCTGAAGTCATGTTCAGGGTTTGTCCAGGCATCTTGGCTTTAGATTTTGTTTGTCCAGATCCTCTGTTAAGTTTGATGGGGTAAAAGCAGAATACGTTCACACATATGTAATGGAAAATATACACATATGTTAACTAAAGCTATAATAACCAATAACCATCTTCCACTCCCAGAAAAATTCCAAAATGAGCAACTCAAGATACCTCCCCCATGCTAAACTGTATCCATTACATTCTCTGGCACAGTGGGAGCAGATTTGGGCCCCAATGCGTTATGGCCAATATTATGTCTCTAAAAACATAGATGTGTGTTCAGTAATTATTGGCAGCAGCCACTGCTAAATGTCTCATGTAGAAGATGGCACTGAGGAAAGACCCAGTCTGTCAGATTTGCTATTAGCTCATCTCCTAGAGTATGCAATCATCCTTCTAACAAATATGAAAGTGTTGTGACTACCAGTTAGTCAAGGCATCTAGTTTTACCATAAGGAGCTGCCTTCGACCTAATCCAAATAATAAAAAATAAGCTAGAAATTAATATATATATGAATTTTAATTTATATCTCACCCCATAAATTAATTTATATGGGTGGTTTACAGAATATTAAGATAAGCAAACATGTAACAAACATATCTCACCCCATAAATTAATTTATATGGGTGGTTTACAGAATATTAAGATAAGCAAACATGTAACAAACTTATAAACAGTCAAAGAAATAAAAAAAAATGTAACTAAAGGGCCTGTTTTCTCTGTGGCAGGAGGACATGATGCAGGACACCAAGCCAGGTCATTGTGGAAAGCCTCCCTGAAAAGCAACCTTTTGAGCAGCCTTCTCAACATGAGCAGGGAACGGGCCAGGCACAGCTCCGTTGGGAGCTGGTTCCACAAAGTCAGTGCATCTGCATGCAAAGCACACGGATGCCCAGTGAGGGATAATCCTTTCCTGATTTTTCTTTTCAAAACATAAATCTTTTATAAGCTTTTTAGAATAAAACCTTCCAAAATCATCCAAACCCAAACATAAGATATTAGCAAATTCACCTTGCTGACCTGGGCACATCTTTTGTTTCACCGGAAACAACAAAATCATAATCCCACTCTTTGTCACAGCCTTTTTTGCTGCCACTGGAATGACATTTGCTAGGTTTACCACCACCACCACCGCTAGCTCCTTCTCCCTTTCCTTTTCCTTTTTTTCCACTTGGTTTTCCTTTTCTCTTCCCTGATGAGCTCATCTTCTTTCTTTAAAGGAAAAGAAAACACAACCAAACAAACATCAACCCCAGTGAAGTACAGCACTCCATTCATCATGCACATATTTAGTAACTAGAGCAATTATTATTTCCTTTTGCTTAGCCCTGGCTAAAGACATGATTCCAACATTTCCTCACTCTCACAACCCACATAACATATCCTGAAGTATTTATCATTGATTTCACTGGGACTTACGTATCTATACTAACTGTGCATAGGATTCTAGCCTTAGTATACTTGCAGACAAGAATAGAGCATCACATATTATTACTGTGGTACAACTCTGATACTACTTCATCAGAAAAATGAAATCAAGATGATTGAAATAGAAATTCGGTATTCATCTGTTGGTTAGCAGGTAAGCTATGAACTGGAAATCCTTGGTTCAGAATTGTATTCAGTCCCAAATGCTTCAATGGCTTTAACCCAACCATGGTTTTCTAGCTTCTGCCCTTGGTTTTGACTTTCAGGATCATAAGCATATTTCCTCAGGATTAGTAGGTTCTTAAATTTGAGCCATAATTAATTAATTAACCACTGAAGTCTTTCTCCTTTGTGCCAGAAGCATAACAGTACAATTAATAAATATATCAGACTATTTTTGCCCAATAACAGGCAACATCAAGAGCATTTGAGGCACTAACATCAAATCTTCCATAGTAGATGTTGAGAGGCATACAGTACCCCGATATAAGTGTGAAGTTGCCTGCTCTTCTTCATAATCACAAAAGATTGTGTCAGTGGGAAAGCCCCCCACAAGTTTTTAAGGTTCATTTTAGTTCTACCAAGTCTAGTCTGTAGCTTAGCAAGTTATTTCCATGTAACCCAGTTTTCCATATGACTAGGAGCAGGACTTTTGTGAGTTCCATCCGTTTTAAGACGTGGATAGTTTTTTCTTTCTTTCTGCATTCTAATTCCTTCAAGATCCCAAAACCAACCCTTTTAATTTAATTTTACTCTGGGAGAAGTGGTAGAGTAGCTGAAGAGTCTACACACATTTAATGTAGGTGCTTTAAGTCTTTCACTGTCAGCTGCTACCTCTCCCTGTACATCACTGGGTGCAATGCCTACTATTTTTCAACATACCTCATACTGTATTTTTGTTGGCATTCTCACTTTAACACCCTAAAACTCATTGCAGCCTGTTTGCTTAACTGTACTAATTGCCACTGCTGAAGACATATGAGAGAGTAGAGATATAAATCAGGCTCTCTCCAATTCAATGCCCTGACAAATCTCCATCTACCAACTGCTATGGTTAAAGACATTATTCACCAGAAAAACAGGATTCAAATATATTTAAAGCTCCACAACCAGCTGAACTTACTGAACTTTTACATTTT